ATCATCATCATCAAGCCGAGTATTTGTCGCTACACCAAGGGCCGATTGGTATTTAGAGGCCTCTTTTTTAAGTTTGGTATGTTCTTTTCTAATTCACCTAAGCCGTTTCCCTTACCATTTAATTTTTTTTGTATAGTATTAAGATTCTTACTAAATCTTTCTTGTGCTTGTTGCAATACTTGTTCAAAACTTTTCTTTTGTTTCGTTAAGTCTAATTCTAAATTATCGATATTCCTCTCGTAATCTTCTTTCTCCTTAACAAAATCTTGCTCCATAATTAGTTTCTTCTTAACAAAATCTTGCTCCATAATTCGTTTCTCTTAACAAATTATTGCTCTTATTTCGTATTTGCAATGCATGTTGTTTATGAGATTTTACTTCATTTTCTAGGCTTTTTAATTTTGATTCGAATTCTTTCTTTGTTATTATATAATTTTGTTCCAGTTGTTTTTTCTCTTTAACGGATTCTTGCTCCATATTTCGTTTTTGCCTTCATAACGTTGTTTATATTTTTTAACCTCATTTTCTAATCTTTTTAATTTTAAGTCGAATTCTTGCTTTGCTTTTGTATGATTTTGTTTCAGTTGTTCCTTAATTTCTTTCTCTTTTGACAAATTACTTTCAAGTGTTTTGAGCTTGTTCAATATTTCATTTTTGTTTTTCTCTTCTTTTAATCCATCTTTTATTTCTCGTTTTGGATCATTAAAATCTTCATTCGATAATTCTACTCTTGTTTGTGAAGAATAAAGTGAAATTCCGTCTTCGTTAACGGTTCCACCACCTTGATCAACTTCTCTTGTTTTATTAATTGTTTGAGGATCATTTTTTTAGAAAACACGATCAATAACATATGTATTAATAATGTTAAAAATGTTGACATAAAATATATTGAAGTTCTTTACGTCAAATCATATAATTACAAAAAAAATGTGATTATTAGTTTATCACCATATTATCACTAAACGTTATAGCACTTTTTTTTATGCCCATTATTTCCTCGATTAAAAAGACATACAGTACATGCAGATTAACATGCAAATCAATTTCTAATTTATGAGATTCTGTGTGAAACTTTTAGGAGAGAATTATCAATTTTAAAAGCTTGGTATAATTGTGTAAACTTTAAACATTCATTTGCCATTACAATCAGTATCTCGTTAATATTGTTCAAATTGACAATGAAATTTATTGAAGATAAGAAGATAACCAGCATCATTTATTTCTAAATAAGTTCAGATTCAGGGTAAAAAAGAAAATCGATTCATTGAGGGCTAATTCCATTCCTATTTTTCTTTATAGAATTTCCTTACAGACCTATTTAATCAGCATAAAAATTTTTTTTTTCGTTTTTTTATGATGAAATCCTGAAGGGTACTAAATATTCATGCATGTATTGATCTCAGGGTCCTCTATATAGAGTAAAGTAATAGTTTTATCAAAATTATATACTTTGTATAAAAAATTAAAAAAAAATAGGTATAGATGCCAATACCTGATAAATTTCGGGCCACTTCTATTTTAAATAATAAATCTTCAACAAAATTATTCTTAAAATCTTTTAATTATTTATTTTAATTAAATCGATCTTTGTTTAGTTACGAATTGTACCGGCTCTATGGCAGGTTCTGAGAACTTTATGGAAGTCGATCTTTGTTTTGTTATGGATTGTACCGGGTCTATGGCAGGCCATATTGTTGCTGCTAAGAACTGTATCCTTAAGGTGACAAAATACATGGAAGAGGGTATTAAAATTCGTGTCGGTTT